AATATTTCATGTGCACATAAAAGTTTCTTGTGCACATTAATGTGTTTTCTTCAAATGTCACTTTAGGGGCTCCATACATTACACAATATTTAGTCAAAACAAATTAACCATTAACAAATCCGTTATCAATGAAGGTGACACTCTTTGTGTACTTCTGTTATTTAGCCAAGCGGGAATGTTTATCGGCTGGTGGGATAATTCTCAACATCTCAAATGCCCAAATATTGGCTTATTCATTGGCCTGACCAATATATCAGTCTATCACTACTTTAAAGCAAGGCTGCTACAGAAGAACTGTGATAAGTTTATAGTAAAACACTTTTACTATCTAGCCATAACATTCTATTATTGAACTATATAAACTGTAGTCAAGCCAGGTCCAATTCACCATGATTTACTCGCTTATAAAGCTAACACAGCCCACCAGTAAAAATAGACAGAGGCACTTGGTAAACTTCAGATTTATTACCTTCAGGCCGTTGAGAAGGGTGTGTTAGCTTCCTAAAGCCTGTCAGTTTCTCTTATATGAAATAATAATAAGCTCTGAGTGACAGTGAGCCCAGTGGAGATGTGAAACCACTGCCTATTTTCGACCTGAAATTATGATGCAGGCAGTTTGATTTCGAACAGCTTTACTTCACTTACACCGTGAAACAATTATGAAGGAGGAGGACTATAAACACACTGAAATGAACAGTTTCCATGTGAGACAAACATGACTTCCATGCTATGACAATAAGAAACACTTTGGATATTTTAGATGTTTTTTGATCATCCATGTTTGTAATAATATTATGATATTAACATTAAAAGAGATAGTTCGCCCAAAAATGAAAATAGAATAATTTGACACAAAAGCACAATAAATGTATCATAAAAGTGGTCCATATGGCTGTATATATATTTTTTATACGGGTGTGGAACAATTTGAAGAGGACAAATCTTAAATTTTTGGGCTAAGTAGCCTATTTCTTTAAAAACTTCAGCATGTGTGTGCAACTGCACGATGCACGTAAAAAATCATTAAAAATGATGTCGCCCCATTGTACTCCTGTGGTTTTCCACAGTGGTTCCCTATCAAAAGCAAACACATCTCCAGCAGCTAGCCAATTCTTTAACCAGCAGGACGCTGTTAAACGGCCCAAGCACACACTGAGAGACGAGCACTGAGACAGCAGCTAGGGATGATGGGGGAATATTCGGTGTAAAATTACACCGAGGAAAAGCATCTTTTGCCCCAGGCTGTTGTACAAAGAGGTTCTCTGGAAGGCTGCATGTATAAACAACAATTTAGCATCGACACTAAAATGCATCTAATAGCACAACAACACAAATCTCAAAGTAGATCTGTTTGCACCATCCCATGTGGAAAAACAAATAAATAAAAGCTTTTAAACTCTTAGACAGGTTGCCTACATAGTTTTTTGTCTTATTTTTCTCTGATTATGCTGACGCTGTAGCCTGGTTAAAACCAGACCATTCTCAGTTGTAACTGAGTTATGGTCTGGCAAAGCGTCGTAGACAAATCATTTCCAGAGGGGCGTCACCAACGGACGTCGCGGATAGACCTAAACCCAATCAGAGCGATGAAGGTGATGACGTATGCAGAGCGGCGGAAAACATCTCCAGAGTGTTGTTCTTTGCTCGGTTTTTAACAAAAGGGAAACGTTCAAATCGCTTAAAACAGACGCGATAGCTGATTCGAACAAGTGATGTTCGACGGCGGCATCCATCTTTGTAATGTAGGCTACAAAATCTGCTTCAAAATCCCAGCGCTGTCGTCATCGTGTAAAGCCCGCCCCAACGTTTCTGATTGGTGCCTCGATTTCGACGGATTGGAAATGGGCTTGAATGAGCTCTTTGCCAGACTAACTTTCAGAGCAAATCTAAATTTGCCGGAAGTTGTCTGGGTTTTCCCAGGCTACTGACGCTGTACCTTTGGGGTGAATTCTCAGATTGATTTTAGCCCTCTCTAATCTCCCTTAAATGATGCTGGCAAACATACAGGTCTAACGCCTACAGAACAGGCCTGAAAGGAACCTAAAGAACTGTTCCTGTTCTTTAGGTTCCTCTCAGGTTCCTCTCACTTCTCAGCAGCAGCATTCCATCTGAATTACCATATCACAGATTTCAAACCAATCAACATCAACCCTTCAATCTTGTTTTCATAGGATTTGGATGTGCTACATTATTGAATGAATAATAAAATTAAACATGAACTACTGACTTTTATACTGTAGTTTCTAAAAAACATCTGTAAAGACATTTTCAAGTAATTCTCAGGGTGCGTTTGCATGACAATGATGTACTAAAAACTGAAAAGTTTTTCCTCTGCGATTTTTTGCATACGAACAACAACATTGTCAAAACTATCCCCGTTCACACAGATCTGCGAAAACGGTTAAAAACACTGTATTATGCTCCCAAGCCAGTAGTTGGTGATGTCACTTGGTAAAGAAACACTACACGCCTATAGAATAAACAGAATACACAAGCACATGACGTCACCGTTTTCACAGATTCGCGTTTTTGTAGTTTAAATGGAGACGATAATGGTGTTGTTTTCAAAAACATGCACTTTGAAACCTGTTTTAGGCCCCCAATACTCCATTGACGTGTAAATGAATGGCCAAAACGCATAAGAGGTTTTTTCCGTTTTTAGCTGAAAACAGTGTGTAAACAGCCCCTCAATCCAACAATTAAAGGTGCTCTAAGCGATGTCACGTGTTTTTTAGGCCAAAACATTTTTTGTCACATACAGCAAACATCTCCTCACTAACCGCTGGATGCCTGTCCCCTGAACACACTGTAAAGAAACGAGGATCGCTTAGAGAACCTTTAAATCTGAATTTATGCACCATTAGCAACACCTAAAATAATTGCTAAAACACTCCCCCATCTGTCATTGGTCCCCAAAAAACAGCTAGTCCCGCCCCAAATTCGTGCTATTGGTTGAGTCATTGTTGCTATGTCAAATTGATCGGCAAGCTCAAACAAATAGTAACATTTTCATAACGCCACCGAAACACAACTGTCTGCATTTTAGAGTGTTTTAACGTGGAAAAACATTTCACACTTCAGCTTTAAATGTTTTTTATCACAAGAAAGAAGCAGTTATCACCATCTGTCAAGGTGTGTGTCCAGCTTTAAATCCAGAGGCAAAGTAACGCTTGAAGCTGCACAGGTCATTTTTCTTTGTGTAATTGAGTATTTGACGGCATGGAGACGGCAGTGAGGAATTTCCTTTCAGCAAACTGAACATTCATCATCTAGGGGCAAAGAGCGCTAAAGAGAAACTTCACCTGGACACGATGGACAAGTGAGACCGTTCCATCTCCATATACCACTCAGTTTTTTCTTGCTGACTGTCTGCACTTTTATTTTCATTTTCTAAATCTCTGTACTTTTCACTCTGGTAGACCTGAACTGCACTTTAAAGTTCTTCCCTTCATGGGTGGAAAAGCACCAAATGGAATTTCTTTAAAAATTGAGCACTTGAACAGGTTGCAACTGCAATGACAAGGAGGGTTTCCAGCTTTGCTACCAGTTTCTTCGGGCCTTTTGTGTTTTGTTTTTTTTCAATTCCAAATAAAACCTTTTTTTGTTAATGGTAAACAGTTCTTGCACAGACAAGCAGGCAACTTAAGAAGCGAGGAAAGCTTCAGGTGGATTCTCTTTTTTCGCTCCAATCATTCAGTTCAGTGAATTTTAAGAGCTCCATTTTGTTGTTCATGGTGTGACACATACTTACAATGTCCAATTTCTGCGTGTGCGTGCTTTTAAAAATGACTGCAGCATGAAATTGGGTTGGCAACTAATCCTGCAAAGTTTCAGACATATTCTTACCTAAAATATTGAATATGTATTATGTAAACTTGGTACTTATTTAGAGGTTGTAATACTTTTGTTCTGCTATGGAATACACAGGCAGAGCAAATCCAGCACCTTACATTAACGTACATTTATGATCCTTGCATCAAATGACAACTGATAGGCTAGTCTGTAAAACTAAACTGCTGTCTTTAGTTCTGTTACCATGTAGGCTGATGGGGTTAACAGCCCAGGGTGTTGCAAACTCCCACTTTAAACATGGAGACACCCTGCTTGGCACATCAAGTTACATCAAGCCATATGCGATTAACTTTAAACAAATTTTAAGGGTTACTTGAAACTGTCATTCCAAGTTTCATTAGCATGATGTAGACTATATGAAATTATATGTGAAATTACAACAACCTATGACTAAGTGTGATTTTTTTTCTTCTTCATTTTTAAAGATCACATTTTTTCTTATGTTTAAGTCTTATTCTTATTACCGGTAAGTCAGTGATGACACTATTATCATTATTATTATCCAGATGTAGGCCTATTTCACTATTAAAAAATACAAGAATCGCAATTCATTCATTAAAAGACTTGAATAAACCTTTTCTGTGAATAATTCTGTGATACATTTTTGCATTCATTTTGATATTTTTGTAGGGTTTAAACTAAGTAAAAAAAAAAAATTCTAGGTTGTGTAACTGTTCAGCATGAAAAAGGTATTTTGTCACGTGACAAAACAAAACTGTGATGACCCCATTGGACCCCATGGTTGTGCATCTCAAGGTTAGAGGCGAGCCACACAAAAATAATTTATATAATATTGTATAAATAGGCTGATAGGCTATTTTTCAAAAACATAGGCTATAGTAGAGTAAACACGAAGAGTATATCTTTCCAAATGTGTTTTAAACGAGATTTAAAATAACCTGTTTTAACATCTCAGCCATCCTTATTTGTTATTTTACAAATGAATGATAATTCGTGTAGATAGTTACGCAGGACTGATCGTAAACCGCGAGCAATAAACAGATGTGCCTTTCATCATTATCCTAAACTGTACGTGCATGCGCGCAGAAAATCCCCGTAAAACCAATAAAGACGCTAACGTTACCTGTTGACTAACAAGAAGCAAGTAGCCCAACCAACACCCCTCAATAGCTTTAAAACATCCTTACCTGATGTTCTGGTCCGTATGTACTGCTGAGTAGGTAATGAAGTGTTAAAGCGATCTACAAACAAAACTGAAAGTTCAAATGAAGACGAGTTTGCAGCGCGAACGAAGATCTACGCCGAATGGACGTAATCCGCCAACTTTACCGCGTCTTCTGCTGGAACAAAACACCTGAGGAGTTTCGCCAAGAACAAAGGCAGGATTTGATGGATTCAATTCAACGCTTAAAACCGGTTAGTTCGTAACTGCTGCCAAGCGACATTAATAACGTCGTTTTGACATAAAATAAAATAAATGTGTTTCAAACATCCACTGAACACTTTGTGCCTCTCCCACCTCGACGCACTTCATGCGTTTCATGGACGACTGAAGGGGAGTGAGAGGTTTCTAGTTACCTGACTGACTCGAAAGTTCCTGTTTGTGAGGCCAACCCACTCCTGGCAAACGGTTCCCTTTTTTTCTTAATAAAAACGGCAAGGCTTCTTTATATTTGTTTTTTGGACTTGTTAAAAATTAACTGCTCATGTGGTGTGCAGTAAAGCAACTACTGACCCATTTTATCAGCTAAAGAGAGTGAATGAAATCAACCTGTTAGAAGACTTGTCATGATCTGACTTACACATTTAGACGGGGGGGGGGGGGGGGGGGGGGGGGGGGGGGGGTTGGGGGGGGGGGGGGGGGGGGGGGGGTTGGGGGGGGATTCTTCATTTAAGAATTTCTATTTAGTTTACATCCTCTATTGTTTTAATGGTAGCATTCAGGTTGCATGAACTTAAATTTCTTTAAAACCTGATGTTCTGTTATCCAGCATGTTATGAGAATGTTCCAAAAAGCATGTTGTGCTTCAATGGAAGGAATCTCTTCAATGCCATGATGTGCATATTTTTGTGTCCAGGTGCATTATTTCCTTTTAAAATAATTTGATAAATTAATGACATATCACTTTATTTAGTCTGAATTAATTTTGAGTACATTTAAATAATACATATTATTTTATGTTTTATTATCTTAACCCCCCAAAATGTCAGGTGGTGCAACTGTCCGAACAAATGAACAGACTAAGAAAACTATTTAATAATAATAATTCTAATAATAATAATTTGTTACATTTATATAGTGCTTTTCTTCTGGGTACTCAAAGCGCTTGAAGGGGGGAATCTCCTCAACCACCACCATTATTATTAATGGTGTCTTAATAAAAAAACTAAAAATACCATCGCATCATTTTAGGTTCATATAAACAAATGTTATAAATATCAGTAGTTTTAAAACTGTTGAGATTTCAAGTATGGTATGGGTAGGTTGGTACAATTTCCATGTCAGGTGGTACAACTACAGTATACAGTACAATTATTTGGTTGTGCTGCCTGACATAAAAAAACAGTCAGAAAATGAATTTAAACACTTTGAAATTTTATTTAACAACTAAAACTTGTTTAAACACATTGTTCATGACTCAAAAATATGCATTACATAAGTTTTGAATTTTTTTAAACACCTTTTTGAAGATGTATTTGTCAATGACGGAATATCTCTTATTCATTTTACAATTATTTATACATTTCATCTTACTCGTTTTCTTTCTTTTCATTTTTTATACATGTTTCTATATATTTCCATTTAAATATGATTAAGAATCCCAGAATTCCACTGTAGTTTCAGAGTTTTGAACTGTGTGTTTAATATTCTTTCCTATGTCTTTTTTATTCCTTTTTGTTTCATTTTTAAAAATGTATAAATTATCCATGCCTGTCAAAAATTCCACTGCCATTTCCATAAAATTGACTTGGCCACTGTCCACATAACATAATTCAGGGTGTGCAAGTTCAGGGCGACCTACTTTGGATCTCTGCAGCAATGCTCTGGAGGATCTCTAGTGAGATTGCTGCTAGATTTGGTGAAACCTGTGATGTATGTGTAAGAATTGTTCCAGTTCCACAGCAAGGCCAGGTTTTCACCCTCCTGTCATCGACATTCAGTTTCCCTTCTGTTTTCAGTGTTTATCATCTGATAAAGATTGAATGGAAGGAGGGAAATGCCAGGTCAAAACATTTAAAGTTGCATGAGAAATAAAAGGGGCTGCTTTTCAAAACTATAGGCTGGAAACAGGCCAAAGAGGATAAAACGGTTGTAGAACATGAAGTACTTTTACATAGATTACATAGTTTTTCGGGTTTTTTTAACACATTGATGGATTCTGACTAGCTCTTTTCCAAAACCTTGTGAACAAACTTTTTTATGCTTTTTCAAACTCAAGTTGTACAACCTTTTTGCCTCCTTTCATATCTATTTATCTATCTATTCCAACTTTGGTTAGGGTTAGGGTTTATGTTGTTTTTATTAGCATTTTCAATTTTTTTCTTTGAGTAGTTCTTATACAGCCCTACTGTGTGTTGCCACCTAATTAACCCACCAATTAGTGCAGTAAATTCAGGGACATGTGCAAAGGGTTCAGATGCGCAAATGTGCATGAATCTAGAAAATGTGGGCTGCATAAGCACAGTGTGAGTGAACTCTGTTGATATCGAATTTTACCATGTGCAATTTAAACGTAGCTGCAAACAAATGGCGGCAGCATACTTGCGCCTAAAGGCAACATATTAACAATCTTCATAAGTGGCTGATTTGAAACGCTCTAGCAGAAGCTCAGCACAGCACACATAGTGTCCTACACAGGGGCTCAATTCGCATTCAATTCGAAAGTAATTACTTCATGGCCACTAAAAATGTACCTTCTATATGTATGTGTGTAGTATGAATGTAATCATGTTGCCCTTATGATAGGGCAACATGGCGAATTAAGTATGTCCAGATTACATTCATACTACACACATTATCACACGATATAAGGGCCTTATCACGCAACCTACCAGCTTCAGATGCACCTCCATTCACAAATCCTCTCCCATGGCCTCATGGGATAGTAAAGTGTCCATCGTATGTACACTTCAGAATCTCTCAGGAAGAAGTAGGTCATCCGGGTACTTTTTGCCTACGCTTTCATGAGTACTGTAAATTCGGACAAACTTCTTTTGTCACATGCTGTTTGATGCAGCCTTGCTGTAGTGTAATGCTAAACTAATAATGTGATACACAAGCACAAAAAAATAAAACTGTGATAAGATAGTATAGTTAGTATAATGTATTTATAATTCACATTTCTCTTGCTTCATCCCCATTCTTCTTAGATATATTTGTCCTCTGAGATTATTGCAATGCATTATGGCATTGCCTTCTCTATGGAAGTGTGTTGTTGCCTTAGAAGTGAGCCAAAACAAGGGATCTTCAAGGGATAGTTCACCCAAAAATGTCATTTACTTACCCTAATTTTTCTCCAAACCTGTATGACTTGCTTTCTTTTGTGGAACACAAGACATTTTGGAAAATGTATTTTTCTTTTCCAGATCTGCATATATAATGCAACCAAATAATCTGTTAACAATCAGATTGATGCCTCAATCAGGCTGAAAATCCTTCATGGAAATGCCTCAATCCCGAAAAATGTAGCTCAATCTGATCGATTGTGATGGACAAAAACAGTTGATTACATTCTTCAAAATATCTTCTTTTGTGTTCTGCAGGAGAGAGAAAATCATGCATGTTTGGAACTACATGATGGTAAATAAATGGTGAAAGATTTTTTAATTTTGGGTTAGGAAGCAGCTCACTGTTTTTCACCCAGCATTTAATAAAGTTCACACTTTTTATCTAAAGTAATGTACAACACACTATTTGCTGTTAAGTTCCTTGCTCAAGCATGCCAGTGATGATAAGGCTTCTTACTGTAAACCTGAAGTTCACATCAGCTCATGTTTGTCTGTGGTTGTGTTCTGACCAGGCCAAAGCTTACCCCTGACCTATTATCAGAAGATTCAGCAGCACACATCATGACATGTATGGTACAAAACAAAAGCAATCAGAGAAATCATGTGAACTAGTTCTGGTTAAATGGGAAAAATGTGACTTTTTAACTCACAATTGCGAGTTTACTGTATATCTCACAAATCTAAGAAAAAAGTCAGAATTGCAGGAAGTATATGTATCCTAATTTTCTTTTATACAGTTCATTATACAGTTCATTCATAAATCCGTAAGATCTTAACTTCATGCTGTGGAAATACAAACCGGAAGACAGAACACAACAAGCAAAGCGTTGAAAGGGGGCGGGGCTATAAGGTCTATAATATAGCAGCATTGGCTCAATCAAGGGTTTGTGTTTGGGGCGGGACTATAAGTAGGCAGATGGGGGGAGTGTTTAGGCAACATGTTTGAAAACAGTGATTTCTAATTCCCCTCCGTGCCAAAAGTGGCACAGAAATTACACACTTCAGTCAATGTATGTAATGTGACTGACCAAATGTTTCGTCTTTGTACAGTTTAGGTAAGTCAGTAGGCAATCTTGTTATTTAGTTTTGATTTTACTTTGATAGTTCAGATAAAAAAAAAAATTGCTTAACGCATTCTGTTCATGCATAGTTAAAGTGTTGCTCTGCTTTTGTTTAGCTTGGCTGCTGCTGACTCAAAACATTGCAAATTTCGCTTAGATTGTCGTCCAAGGGATCCATCGATGTTAAAGTGTGTAAGGGAACGTCTCTCTCGTGAGGCATGGTGCCTGAGTTTCCATGGGAACTGCAAATCTACCTCCCGCCCTACATGTAGACCTTGTGATATTTTTTAACAATGTCATGCAGCAGTAGCTCACTAAAAGCAGTGGGTTAATCATAGTCCCCTCCCTCTCTCTGTCTTTTATTATTCTAATGGATTTATTCACGGCCTTTCAGTTTCATCTATTTTGTTTTATCCAGCTACTTAACACTCCCACAGCATATATGCAAACACACTGAATTTCACAAACGATGTGTATTTATGTCAAAGATCCTATATAGGTTCTTTAGAGAGAGAGTCTCTATTAGCTGATGCTTTATAAGTCACAGAGCTTTGATTGATTAGAATGTTAATGTTATTTATTTAACTCCATTGACTAGCACCGCTGAAATACTGAACCTTAATGAGTTATTTTTCACCTGATTAAACCAGTGAATTTAGAGCACATTAAGCACATTTTTTCCTTTAGGTTACATGACATTTTTTGCAATTATTTTTATTTTATTTGAAAATTACAGGCACAAAAATGTTTCCTCTTCTCTCCCAGCAGCTTTTTGCTTTTTCCTCCTGTTTTCCGCTCCCATTTCAACTATAATTCTCTCTCAGACCCTCATTCAATGATAGACTATTAATGAATTAGCTTGATCTTTGCTCTTGAATGCTGGGACATCAGTCCAGTTTATTCACATTACATCTCTTAATGTGAAGAGGGGTGGCGTTGATGCCACTGGCAATGTGTGAGTGTCGAGAGAGAGAGAAACAGTGAGAGGAGGAGAGAAAAGAGAGAGAGAAGTGTGGCAGAATGCCTCTGATGAAGAGACAGCCGTTTACACGCAGAGAGCCGAGTTAAGCAGGTGCTGCTGTTTCATTCACACACTTCTAAAACCACTTGTGCTCACGTCCAGCCGGAATGGCTGTAATATAGCACCTTTACTTCCGCACTGCTTTTGCCATTAGAGGTAAGCTATTTCTCTCTCTCTCTGTTTCTCACTCTCGCTGATGTGTTTATAATGGTGAATGTGGGCAGGCATTTGGGTGGCTCAATAAGCCGGCTGTAATGGATGCAATGCCTTTGAATGCAAAAGCAACAGAGGTGGTACTAGATCAAGGCTGTTGCAGGGTGAAACTGTGTTCGGGCTCTGACCCAAATCGGCGAGTCGTAGCGCAGTGGCACTGTGTCGCACGTTGTCTTCTGCTCTGAACAAAAGTGACAGTGATGGAAATCTAAAGTTTTGCACTCAAACTGACTGCACGATGGAATGTATGTGCTTTTGTTTGTGGGTTTTAATAGTGTGTGTGCCTATGAGATAAAGTACACAGGTAGGCTAAATGTTTGTTTACCGCTACATTTGTGTTTTGAGGCAGTTATTACTTTGCAGACTGTATACTTGCACTCTTTTGTCAGGACCTGCAGTATGAATAATGGTGAATAATGCCAATTAGTGCTGCATCGTGTGTGTGTGTGTGTGTGTGTGTGTGTGTGTAAACCCGAAGCCCTAAAGTAATCAGTGTCAGCCTCAGACGACATGCCCACGGTCCGCCCACAGTCTGTTCACTGACCGTCTGATCCAAATTGCACTCAAAACTGACAAGCACTATATCCAAAAAACCAGTTTACTTCAATGTAGATAATTCTGCTTTACTTATATTAAAAATTAAAAACTTTCACACTTATTAAATTGTTAGCATGCTTTTGTACAGCATTAGTGTGCCATATAGCTGGGTCAGAGGTAGAAGTAGGACTTTTTACATATGGCCCTGGTTCAATTGCTATACTGAAATGAGTGCATTATCCTTTTTAAATACATCAAGTAAAATTGCAACTCTGTGCCAATATGTATAACAGGAGCAGGATCTAATTTGGTTTCAATAAAATTAATAATTTCTCTGACTTTATTAGCTTGGCCTGCTGGCAGTTTGACCCTATCAAGCTCTATTAGTGATGAAGTTTTACCTAAAAACCTGCCAAAAGAGATGAATGTTGTAATTTGTATTGTATGAAGGAACAGTTACACTACTGGTCAAAAGTTTTGGGTCGGTAAGATTTTTTGTAATGTTTATGAAAGAAGTCTCATGCTCAAGGCTGCATTTATTTGATCAAAAATACTATAAAAAAGCAGAATTTTGAAATATTATTACAATTAATGTAATTTATTTCTGTGATGGCCAAGCTAAATTTTCAGCATCATTGCTTAAGTCTTCAGTATCATATGATCCTTTAGAAATCATTCTAATATGCTGATTTGCAAGAAACATTTCTTAATATTATCAATGTGTAAGGAAGATATTAAAAGATCCAATAGTAGAATTGTATGTTACGCTAGTTACATGAGTTTGACTGTGAAATCTGTAATCTGTATTTAAAGGGATAGTTCATCCAAAAATGTAAATTCTGTCATTAATTACTCACCCTCATGTCGTTCCAAACCCGTAAGACTTTCTTTCATCTCCGGAACACAAATGAAAATCTTTTTAATGAAATCTGATGGCTTTCTGTCTCTCTATTGACAGCTACACACTTTGACGCTTCAAAAAGTTCATAAAGAGATCGTAAAACGAATCCATATGAATCGAGCGGTTTAGTCCAAATTTTCTGAAGAGACTCGATCGCTTTATATTATGAACAGATTGAATTTAGGCTTTTATTCACATATAAACATTCATCAACTCACACATCAGTTGGGGTAAACGGAAGCTCAAACATGTTCACTTGATGTGCGAGAACCAATGAGGTTCATTCTCGTTCATGTGGACGTATCTTGTCACCATACTGTAGAGGATAAAGCAGCCAGTTAGCAGCTGGTACTGAAGATTTCTGCACTGTAAGTGACACAGAGACCCACATGCCCCCGTTTCTGTGTGCACACAGAGAGCGTGAAACATCTGAGCACTGTCATAACATTCATTCTGTAACTTCAGATCATACTGGATGAACAAGGGGCATTTCTGTCTTTGAGTCCTTTGCTGATGTTTGAAATGCAACAGTCCAAAAAGATAGCAGCAAATCACTTGTCATGGATCTGATAAGCATTCATATCCATTGTAGACATTCACAGTTACTGCATTTGGTTAACAAATAGTGTATTGTACTGATCAAACCATAGGAGGAACAATATTAGGCCTTTTTACATGTGAAATTCTTCACTTGGGGTTCACACTTTTTTTTTTTTATCCCAGTGTTAAAATAATCTTGTTATTTTGTTCCATGATTCACACTGTTCATACTTTACCCCAGCAGTCATTTATCCTGGGAAGTCAGATTTAAAAATTTCACAGATTAAGCTGGTTGTCAAAAAAGTCTTTCTGGTTAAGCTAGCCATGAAACATGGAAACACTAGCATACCAGAATCGCATGCTGGTGACATAAATTCGTTCTGGTTGTCTCAAGTCTCAAAAAATGTACAAGACAAACAAAAACATAGAAAGAAAACAGGAACTTATGTTGCTTATCTGCTTTCCTCTGATGCTAAACATCTAAAAAGTTTGTGGAAGTGTTTGTTGCTGTACCCAGTGCATGAATATTTAAAGATGTAGTCACTGAGGCAGTTTTGTATAGTGTAGAAAAACTCTTTTTAGTTACCGAATGTTTACTAAATGTGTTAAACGATTTCAATCATTTTGCTAACTTCCACTGCATGTTCTCTAACCAATATATACACTATCCTCCAAAGACATGCAAGCCAACCTGATGTCAGAATAGTTTTTGCGTCTTTGCATTGTCCAGTTAGCTCATGCTGATAGACAACGCATTCTCATCCCAAGGCGTCACTAAAATGACAATTTTGACCATGCTTCAATATTCGACGCTTTAGGCACCCTTTAGCGTCAGTTACATGACGCGATCCTAGGGCGTCATCTTACTGACGCTTTACCTAAGCGTCAGTTAGATGACGCGGGTAGGTTTAGGTCTGGGGTAGGGTTAGGATTAGATAGCGTCATCTAACTGACGTTAAAGGTAAAGCGTCAGTAAGATGACGCCCTAGGATCGCGTCATGTAACTGACGCTAAAGGGTGCCTAAAGCGTTGGGCTGTGATAGATCGCATAACTACACCAATAGGGCTTTTCTTCTTTGGCAACCATGTACTGTATTCTGACAAATAGATCACTCCTATTTCATTATATTATTGCAGAGGTTTTATCAGTGCTCTATTTTTGGAATGCTCTTAAAAGCGTGAAATGGGCTTATATTTATCTGCTGCCTTCCACATCACAGCTCAGGACAGTCACTGGGTTTGGGATTTTGCGCGCATTCTTGTGGTTCCATCAACCAACCAATCAGTGTTCTCAACGAAATTAGATTTTCTTTTAGTAGTATGTAGTTCTTCTGTATGTAGATTGTTCAAAGTCAAGTTTTAAGCCATCCTACATTTTGCCTTGTTGTCCTGTCCTGTCTTGTTCCTCTTTGCGGTTCTTCCTTCCTGTCCCTTGTGCTCTACTTGTTTGTAAAGTACTCCTTTGCGGTGACCTGAATTTGTCTTTTCCTCCCTCTGTTGCTAAGAGTGAATGTTTTAAAGAGCTCAGAAGATAGACGTATCATAAGGGGTGCAGTAGACTTCCCTTTGAAGATAGATTTCTTAAGAACGTATTCACCTATGCTCATTTTTCCTGTGCTGTGTTTTTGCTTGAAATGTAGCGGCCCACTTTTCAGTGTGGTGTGAGATTTTATGATGCATGTCAGTGGTCTGTCAGTGTATTGTTAATTGCAAGAGCAGTGTACACTAACACTCATATAAGAACTGAGGTTTTGACGGTTCACTTTCAAGAGTTTCAACAGTACAAGTCATTACACCTACTCAAATAAATCAAGCTTTTAGGAATAAAGGATTATACAGATGCAGCTGGTCCTCAGGACAAAAACTAGAATGCGTTAGTGCCGCTGTCACTTCAGCAGCAAGTCAGCACTAGGCTTCAAACAGAATTTTTGACATGAGAATATGGCAGAAGGGTTTGAAATTTATGTTTGGTTTAGCCCAGTTACGATTAGCCCAGCAAACACAGATTGTTCCCCTATTATTACATTGTTAATTATCATGATTTTTACTGTAAAAGATTGTAAAAATTGCTAAGGTAAAGGCCAGTTTTTATAAGTGAAAAAGAACGTGAAGTGAGGTCATCATATAATTGACGGTTAATCCGCTTTGCATCAGTACATGACTGGAACATACTACAAAATACCCTGAAACTTACATCTCTGATTCCAATCTCCACCTTTAAAGGTTCTCTAAGCGATCCTGGGTGACATCACTTCTTGTTGACGTTCGAACTATTGTCAAACAAAACGGAGGCTAGCTAGACCCTCCCTCCTCCTCATCCGCACACTAACCCCCCAAACCACACCCCCAAACCCTTCTTGTCGGTCATTGGCTGGAACAGTTTGTTATGTTTCGGGGAGCGGGTCGCTGCAGTTTGTTTTTGTTGCTGTTTGTGGAGCCTGGGCTGTCTACAGCAGTGGTCTCAAACTCGCGGCCTGCGGGCCATTTGCGGCCCGTGGGGTGATATTTTGTGGCCCCCTACTTGACATTAAAGTTCAATGTTAGTGCGGCCCGTCGTTGCGTGTGGCGCGTTAAAAAATATATATGTAACCCCTCCACCCGGGTCCTACTCTCCCCGCTCTGTGCGGGCCCCGAACCCGGGTCTCCGGCGTGAGAGTCAGGCGCTCTAACAAGGAGGCTAAAGACTGCAGCCTCTAGCATCTGTCGCTAGAGAGCCTTTTGAGATCAGAGGAGTGAGGTTTACTCGCACAGCAACTACTAGCTGGCCTCCGTTACATATATATATATATTTTTATCCCTTATGGGCTACCATAGATAGTCTCGTGACAGCTTACGGGTGGGTTTGTTGTCAATAGTTGTCATAGACAACCGCGAAGTACAAACATACTGCGCCTGGAAAAAATGAGCGCGTCGCTTCAATTATGAGCGCGTTTGCCGCGCGCCTACATTTGAAATAACGAACTTGAGCGCGCAAAATATGTGAGCACGATATGTGAACAGGCCCCTTGTCGAGCTACCACCAATCAGGCCAGAGCTACTGGTAGCTCGCGAGCGACGTGTTGGAGAGAGACCCTGCTCTAAAACAATGTGAGAATAATCATTTTGAGCTTGTAATATGTGTCAAACAGGTTGATAAGAAGGTTTGCTTTGATTTGTGCAGTCAGTAATTTGAGACACTATACATGTGTAGAAAGAATTCAATAAGACGGGCAGACATGACTGCAAATATTTGTATTTCAAAAGCAATAATTGTTTTTCTAAGTATAATAAAAGGAAATGTGCCTTCAAAAAAAACAAAAAAACATTCAATATCATTAATGTGTTGAATAAAGAAAATAAAAAGGACATAAGCAAATATAAATATCACAAAAATGTTTGTAAAAAGTTTGTAAAAATGAACTTCAACTGTCAGAAGGACAGCTCATGAAGAACCAATCATGTACAGAAAGGAATGTTCAAATTCAGAGGAACAGTTCAGAAGAAACGTTAATAATAAATATTGAGAAGATTGGATCAGTTGTGCTCCTTTTTGGGAATACTTGAATACTATTTTTTGTGGAATACTTGATGCGGCCCCGCCTGACCCCGACTCTACCTCCAGCGGCCCCCAGTTAAGTTGAGTTTGAGACCCCTGGTCTACAGAGATCGCGTTTCTTTACAGTGTGTTCAGAGGACAGGCAGCCAGAGGATAGTGAGGAGATGTTTGCTGTATGTGACAAAAAATGTTTTGGCCAAAAAACGCGCGACATCGCTTAGAGCACCTTTAAGCAAAACCTCGAAAATCATATAGTCGACTCTTGTTCCTGCTGACAATCATGAACCATATTTATACACACATATTTAAGCACTCTATTCTTTTCTTTCCCCCCTTTGTTGTCTATCTTTTTTTAATTTAGTTGCTTGTTCTATGTGTTATGTGTTTGACTGTGTAGCTGTACAGTATGTTCTTATTTATTCCTGTAGCCTCTTGGCCAGGTCATGTTTGTAAATGAGAAGTGGTTCTCTAACAGTTTACCTGGATAAATAAAGGTTAAATAAAAAAATAAAATGGTGAAAAAACGTGTGAATTTAATTTAAATAACTGCTTCTTCTTAATTTTTTTCTTATCAGTTATGTACATTATGACATCTTATGTTGTTAAATTAATGTTTATTGCATAATTTTAGTGTCGTATGTGTTACCAATTGTGTGTTTTTAATTTGTGTGTATGACACGTGCATCCACACACTTGTTTGGATTATTATGCATACACTTGTTTGGAACATTATGTGTTCTGGGTAATGTTAATGCATAACATTCTATGCGAGAGCAAATCCACTTTGCAAGCACTTCCAAAGGATGAGGACTTTGGCTTGAATACTGTACTGTTCATACTGTAAACCAGCATGGAAATTAGAAAATCGGTTGGTAAAACAAAAAATGAATATGAAAAGGTCTGTTGGGCAACATATCCCTGCAGTATAAATTGCTAGCTAGAAGTTGTTGTTGTTGTTGTTTTTTTGTGGTAAGTGTAGACTGTCTTTTTAAATTGTTAAAAACTTTACTGCACCAATAAGAAGCATAAATATCTTGTTACTTTTTTTTACATTTGGTAGAGTTTCAGACCCATATCTTAATTGGCGCATAAAATCACTTTGGTTCTTTTTCAACTTCAGCTTCAGCATTTTTAGACGATGAATTTTAATGGCTGTGTGTAGATGGTGACGGCTACAAGATGTTTGTGGTGTTGTGTTTGCTGCTAGGCCTGAGGAACACAACGCTAAAGACAGAAGCTAAACCGCATGATTTATTCATCTGTCTTTATTCATCTCTCTCCCCCTCATTATGTAACAATAGTGGAGAAAACATAAAAGTGATCCTGATCATTACAGAGTCTTAGAAGAGAGCTTATATTCATATTGTTGGTCTCTTTAATACTAATGCATTCTTTGCTTAGGGCAACATGTATGTGAGTGTGTGTTTGTGACCTATACATCAAACGAGAGAATTCTTTGCTCTTTCAAGTGGTGGATTAAGATTATAATCTCAAATTCAGATCCATGTCCTATAGCTCATCTTCTGTTCACCACAGTGGGAATTCAGTTCTCATTCAAGTCCCGGCTGTAAATGAAACGAGCATTTGCTGTGCTGATAATGTTCTTGATGCTGCACTGCTAGACAGGATTCAATTTGAAGATATAGAGTTGGTGATGGAAAAATTGTCAATGCATAATAGTTTTATGGATAAGCACATGCCATGGTGCCATAGCTCATGGAATATCTGCAATAATATTTCGTACTACAAAAACATGCACCTGGATGCCCTGTAATCTTCAGTATTTATGTCATGCATTATCACAGTACAATAATCTGATTACTTTTTCCCCTCAGAAAAAAAAGTATTATCTTTAATTATGTTATGCCCCAATTTCACATATTTCTAAGAGGATAATATTTTCACGTGTGAAGTGTGAACCATTTAAAATATGTTTGCAATCACCATCAGCCGACAGCGCACTTTGTTATAGAATTTACCCCAGTTTGCAAATGTTTTTTTTTTTTTTTTTTTTGAAGAACAAAACTTTGTCATGCTAGGATCTACCTAGTGGCTATAATCAATCTTGACACCCAAAAGTTTGAGTGAAATATGAGGGTAGGTAAATGCATTTTTATTTATTTTTCTTGTCATATTATTACATTGGGTTGTTCTATCACGATCATTGCATTGTTATTATAAATGTCAGGATAACCATGCACAAAGAAGTGACAAGTAAACAATTGAGAGAATATATTTTTGGTATACTGGTTGCTCAGTAAGTAAGAGCAGCCCAATGTCTATATTGAAGGAATGATGCATTGACACGGAGCTTGATATGTTTATTCAATAAAACCGGTTCATATTTGTTCTTGAATTGGACTACACAGGTTATGCTGTACTTTGTCTTTTTCCCCCAGTGCGAGAAACACTAAGGTCTGCGAAATGTCAGAAATGTTTAAATACAAGTTATGCCCGCTAATGAATGTTCATTCTCATCGATTTCAGGCTCTTGCAAACTATTCTTTGAGTTCCTCTTACAAACTCAAACTTTCAGGGCAAATGTTAAAGGGATAGTTCACCCAAAAATGTCATCATATTCTCACCCTCAGGGCCTGGAAAAAAAGGAGATATTTTGAAGAATATGGGTAATTAAACAGTTGATGGGGACCATTGACTATATGGGGAAACAAAACTATGGAAGTCAACTGTTTGATACCCATATTTTTCAAAATGTCTTCAAAAGAAAAGAAAGAAATTCATACATTTGGAACAACTTGAGGGTGAGTAAATGATGACAGAACTTTCATTTTTTGGGTGAACTATCACTTTAAATAAAGACTGAAAAAGTTGTCAGAAGCTTAATGGTGGTGGCATTGAGGTCCTGCGACTGTGGCGTAGTACGTTTAGCTTTTTACTTCTGCTGATTGTATTTATGAACTCATAAAAGTTGTGTTAATTCGTGAAAACTATCATGATGAACAAAACATCTAAGAATCATAAACTTTTGTCGGTCACAGTCAGAGCTTATTTTCTGCAATGATTAAAAAGCCAGAAAAACATCCTATTGGGTATTTTTTTAAGCTAACTTCCAGGTTGGCCTACAAAAATATGACTGCAGCGCACTATAGAGACGATAATATACATGAATTGTCTGCATGCGCAATCCAAGTAAATGAGATAAACTATCTCAATGAAGTTGTCGTTTTCTGCCTGTGTATGTTCCAGGTGTCTGGCTGACATGCTGAAGACAGGAGAGATGGACAGAAGGATTGTGGGGAGAGGAGGAGTTAAGAGGAGCAAATATATAGTGCCATGCTTCTTGTTAGTAGAGGTGAGTTGTAGACTGGATTGTTCACTTCTCAGTTCATCCTTGCTTCCATATTCACCATGTGATTGTCATGAATGTTGTGCTCTGCCCTCTAGTGGAACTAAAAGCAATCTAAGATTTTAAAGTCTTCAAAGGGCTCGTACACCCTCTTGGGCAACTTGTTCAGCATCTCATTTGAGATTTTGAGATGAGTCTTTGTAGCTTATGAAATACCATAGAAACTCTTCAAGTTCACCATGGGAATACTCATGCCTGTGACTATTTAAGGAATAGGCCTTCACCCAAAAAATACAATTTTGTCATTATTATATTTTGAAACCTTTGTAAGAGTTTTGTATTCCATGGAAACAGTTAACAGAATACAGATTTGGAATGACATCTGGACATGGAAGTGAGTAAATATTGGCTGAATTGTAACATTTGGGAGAACTATTTATTTAGTTTGTGTTGCAGAGGGTTGCAACATCTTTAAGTGGTATAATAGAGAATTCAGAAAACAAACTTGAAAAATGTTTGACATTCCTCTGTAAGAAAGAGAAGAGGTTTCTGTTTTTTCGAACACTCCACCTGAGACGTGCACTGCTATTTTCAATAATCTGTGGAGTGGAAATACATTAAACTGTACCTGAAACTCTGCTCCCCTGACTGGCAGCTCTAATAAATACTTCCAGAAGCAAACACATAACAGTCTCACTGTATACCTGACTGCGACGCATGAGGCACTTAACATTAGCATAAACAGTACAGTCATTTGAAGTCAGTCACAGTATACTGTCAGTCTACCAGAACTCCATGACCCTCTTTACTCATCTGATGCTCTCTTCCCACATCCCTTTATCCCAGAGTCCTCGCTGGCTCCTAGATCTCAGAGGCATATACCCTCAAAAGTGCTCTTAATTAATCCTGCTAATGAGCAGTGTTAGCGTACACAGCGTCTGATTGCTTCAATCGCCTTAGGCCCAGTGCGGAGGCAAAGTCTGCATGACAAAAACATTTGCATCATTCTTACATAGAAAATTGATGGGACTTAGTTTTCACAGGCTTTCCAAAAGAAGTTAAAACCTGCCAGCCAAATGTACTAAATATATTAATGTCGCCAAAATACACATTTGTGTAAATAAATAAATAAATAAATAAAAAATCACTGATTTCAGGCTTCCAGCACAAATGTTTCTCAATGCCTCAAGTGAACCTGAAATTAGTTTTGTTTTTGCTTACTTTGTTTATGGTTTTCAGGACACACCTGTGATCCATTTTTGGTCATAATCCCCCATTTGCTTTTTAAGGAACATCCGAAAGATAGTCAATTAGCATAAACTCAACACCTGCTATTTCACAGGTGCTGTTCATCCAACTTTTTAACTTGGTACACTCACTCCATGGATTGAATAACTCAGAGATAGAGTCTGAGGTTAAAGTCCCCATGAATTCAAAATTGACCATACTTACTTTCTTTGCCTAAATTGATCGTTTTGTGGTGAACAATTCATCCATGCAAGTCAATCCACACAAAACATTTTTTTGGCTTCGTAATCTTTAATCAAAATCTGAAATTTCCCCTCCCCTCTGCATTGGAGGACCTTGCCTGATGACGTAGGTTTCACGGTTTGGGCGTCTTCTTAACATCCATAATCACGCCCCTCCAACTGACAGTAGACAGGCTGAATGAAAACACCTACTTTTCTAGATCCAATCAGGTGCTAGTTGAAAAAAAACACACCCACCATTTTGCCTCATTTAGTATTCCGTTTCTCTCGGAAATACGTCACAACACTGGAGAAAAGTCGTTTGCAACTTCCGGTTCACGGGGACTTTAAAGCTCTTGTAGTCCTCCGACCACCCACAGCCTGTGCAGAGACCATCTGGAAAAATTGCACACTAAATTAAATTTGAAAAGTTCTAATCTGATTGGCTGGCTGCTCTACAGTTTCCACTGAGAAACAAGAGTGCACCAGACTTCTGCAAATGTGTATATTCCTCCCAAATGGTTGTTGAATATTTCAAAGTGTTTCTAATCTTTTTAATGTTTTGATTGAGCCAGTTTGTTATAGGTATTTTTGTTTTTTGATACAATCATTTTAAGATTTAGCTAACTTAAAAGAGAATTTATAGCATACTTACTTTCTGCTCTAAGTGTGCATACTGGGCATAGTTTATTTATTTTAATACGTTCTAAACAGTAACTTATTTATTCCTTCTACAATCTATATTTTAACTCATTATTTGATCAGAAGTTAAGACAAAAGTTAAAGTTATTTTTATTTTTGGGGGTTTTAAATGCATTTTAAGTTGATAACTAGACCACTCATTTAAAATCTGATGAGGTTATTTGACAACAGTGTAGCATACTACTGTTAATAAACAGTGGGGATATAGTGTATACTAGTGCATTCCGTAAGTGGTAAAGGTGCGTTCACACCATGTTATAATTACCGTAATCCAGAGATTTCAACTTGTAAAAGGCGTTCACGTCCTCGTAGAGCTCGTAATTACAGCTTGTAAGATGGGAATTTTCTGAGAGCTCCTACTTGTAGCACCTGACCGCTGCAAATTAATTTAGGCATTGATAGTGTTGCCATAGAAATGCATAATTGAACAGCTCCGAATAGAGCATCACGTGTTGTCATATTGAGACTACATGCAGCTAGTGTGCCAAACTGAGCCAAAGGTTGGTGTTAACCTGTCCTGAAGAGCCTCCTCAGTGTCTCCAGCACACTTTCATGTAGCAAAGTATCTCTCTCCAGTCCTCTCTTGTGGCCAATGATCCTTTGTTCTACATTTGCATCTCATTATCAGTTGCTTTTGGTAAAATTCTCTCTGGCATTTCTCTATTCCCCTTTCCTTGATGCAGTTCCAGCTCGGTATCGTTCGTGCTTCATCTCCGCACTGTGGGACATATGTTATCTGCATGTTAAAAGCTTGAGGATCTCTCAGCACTGACAAGCTTCATCAATGAGTGCTTGGTGTGGCTTAAAGAACTTTTTTTCCAGGAAGTCCAATCTCCATGGCAACTAACAGATCTGTTTAATGTCATAAATGCAGGGAACTTAATAATCTTCTAATTATTGTTTGATCTCAGACTATTTTCTGTGGGGGGGAAAAGAAAATAATGAAGACAAAATAAAAAAATTATATAATATAATACAATATTAAGCTGAACTTATTTTAAAAAGCTCACTGTACAAATATACGACTGTCAGTCAGAACTAGGCAACTAGCTAAAATCAAATAAGTTTAAGGTTTTATTATGTTATTTTAGTAATGTTTATTTTATTTAAAATAATACAAATGTTTATTAATGCTGTAATGTTAAGGTCTAGATGATAAAGATTCAAAAGGTTACAAAACAAAGGTATTTATTATAAAACAAGCTCAAATAGTCCACTGATGAAGAAGACGTAACGTAACAGCGTGTAAGACATGACAATACCAGACAACAATGACAAAGCTGTGATGATTAATGAGTGTCCATGGAAACTGATGACTGGCGGGGAACTAGAAACAAAGAATAGAGGAAACTGACGGTAACCAAACTAAAAGTCCATAAGAGTGAATCTAAACACACAGATTGTGACAAATGGTTGTAGTTTTAGTTTTATTTACTGATAATAACCCTGGTTTTAAACTACAGTACAATACTAATATCTTTTTAATTTCCAAAGCAACTTGCAGTATTTTTACTATTGATTATTTTATTACTTATTATTGATCGAGAGCTATGGAGCTGAGTGTATTTTGTTAAAACAATAAAGTTAGTTAGCCAGTACGAGTCACCACAGTCATAATAAAAAGTATAGAAAATAACACAAAGTGAAAATAAAGTGGTATTTTGGGTTAAGTTTACGGAAAACGTCTCCGGTTACTGACACAACCTTGGTTCCTTCACTGAAAAAAACAATAAGTAAAATTTACTTAATTTTTCTTTGGCAAGTTTTTGCACGCATATTTTTAAAGTAAATTTCACAAATGGAATTGAAACTGTAGGTTTTCCTCTTTGTTGCCAATCTCTGTTCGAAATCTGCAATTGCAGTTATTCGCGGAATTATCAACTTTACGTGGGTTGTGTCTCGGCACGGCACAGTGCGGATGAATCCAATGTTTTGATGAGAATGTGCGGCTGTCAGTCGCCGCGCCGGTGTGGATACTGTTATTCAGAATCACAGATTCTACGTTTTGGAAGTATGACCAACATAAGAATTTTCACCAGAAAATGTCATCTGAACTAGTAAGTAACATCCACTTTTGTTCTGACCAACTAGGGGGGAAAAAGCATTGCAGTAAATCACGCTGATTCAATCCAACGATCGCTTATCATATCACGTCAAACCGTGCAAATTATACTTTGTTCTCAAATTGTTAATGTTAACAACATCAGCATTGCGTGACTACATTTAATACCCTTCTGATATTTACCCTTGTTTTCGCATGGGCCCGGTTGCAGTCTCTTGTTTTCTGTAGTCACTCCGAAGTCTTTTGCATTTTACAACAGGTGAGTCTCCAGTTGTCACTGGTGATTGTTGTTTGAACCTTTCTGGATCCGCCATCAAATTGATAAGTTTAATTATATCAAGTGCTGTGAGAAAAGGCTTTAAATCTCCAACATCCTCACTCGCAATAAAGCCTACTAGCCAAAACTCCTTCTTTATGTGTACAGATGTGACGTAATGACCCAAAGACATGCTCGAATCTCCCGCGGAAATCCACCAGTCACTAGAATTAAAAACATTATTACAAGCTTACCGTTTTGAATCGAGCTAAGGCAAGCAGATAGTTTTGAACACTGGCTGGTTATGTACTTGCTCAAAATTATTTTGGATAATTTTTAACCCCCCAAAAGTTACGGAATGCAGCTTTAAGGTAACTCTACTTAACCAAGTTAAGTAAAATTAACAAAGAAAATGAGTCATTTTAACTTGGCCAGTAAAAGGTTGAGTAATATCTATTTAGTTAATAATACATTTCACTCAAACAATATAACATTGAATTAAACCACACTTTTAAAG